GGGGGCGTCCGAAGGTCGCCGTTTTACTGGGCAAGGTCGCCGTTTTACTGGACAAGGTCGCCGTTTTACTGGGCAAGGTCGCCGTTTTACTGGGTCGCTGTTTTGCTGGGCAAGGTCGCCGTTTTACTGGGCAAGGTCGCCGTTTTATTGGGCAAGGTCGCCGTTTTGCTGGGCAAGGTCGCTGTTTTACTGGGCAAGGTCGCCGTTTTATTGGGCATGGGCAAGGTCGTTCTATAAGTAAAATATTTTCTTAATGTTGTGGGATTCTTTGGGCGGGTGGGTATTTTCCTGGAGTAAGTGCTTGACTAGTGAATGCTTGGACTTGAGATGCTGAACCCTAAACCCTAAACCCTAAACCCTAAACCCTAAACCCTAAACCCTAAACCCTAAACCCTAAACCCTAAACCCTAAACCCTAAACCCTAAACCCTAAACCCTAAACCCTAAACCCTGAACCAGAAGCTTGCGATCCAGGACGTCGCAAGCGGCCGGGAAGTCTTGGCCAAGCGGGCGAAGCTGCTGGAGAGCCGCTTGCCCTTTACTTCGGGTTTAGGGTTTATGGTTTAGGGTTTAGGGTTTCGGGTTTAGGGTTTTTAGGGTTTTTAGGGTTTGGGGTTTTGAGGTTTGGGTTTAGGGTTTCGGGTTTAGGGCTGGTAAGTAAGCAAGATCCCCAAAACCAAAACACCCAACCCTCAGAGGGTTGAGGGCGCTAGGAGCAGACGAAGCTGGTTTAGGGTTAAGGGGTACGCCTCGACTGGAGCATAGGATTGCAGCTTGGGTGCAGAAGCCCTAAACCCTAAACCCTAAACCCTAAACCCTAAACCCTAAACCCTAAACCCTAAACCCTAAACCCTAAACCCTAAACCCTAAATCCTAAACCCTAAACCCTAAGCCCTGAGCCCTCAGCCCTGAGCCCTACGCCCTAAGCCCTAAGCCCTGAGCCCCGCACTGCGCGGTTTCGGGTTCGGGGCACCAAACCCCAAACTATGAACCCTCACCCCCCCCCCCTCTCAAAGAACAAAACAAAATCAAAGTATAAGTACGCAAGAAAATAATCAAATAAATATAAATCCATAAAAAAAATATATATACACACACATATATATATATATACACAGTTTTATAAGAAAAGAAAACTAAAGGCAAGGAGATCCTGGAGACGGAAGAAAGTCGACTCAAGAGCTTGGAGGAGGCTTTGGCGAAAGCCCAGGCGTCAAGGGGCGGGTTGGCAGGGAGGGGGTGGGGGGGTTTAGGGTTTAGGGTTTAGGGTTTAGGGTTTAGGGTTTAGGGTTTAGGGTTTAGGGTTTAGGGTTTAGGGTTTAGGGTTTAGGGTTTAGGGTTTAGGGTTTAGGGTTTAGGGTTCAGGGGGAGGCTCAATGGGGTAGGGCGGCTTGGGGTTTAGGGCTTGGGGTTTGTGGTTTGTTTGGGGTCTAGGGTTTGGGTTTAGGGCTTGGGGTTTGGGGTTTCTGGGTGGGGTTTGGGGTTTGCGGCTTAGGGTTTGGGGTTTTATGGGGTTTAGATAGAAGTGGTGGGCCTTCAGCCTCCGCAACCCTACACCCAGCAAAAGCACATTCCAGGTGATTCTCTACACCCCCAAACCCTAAACCGTCAACCCGAAAATCCCCAACCCTGAGCACCAGACTGCAGTGATGGCGATGATGGCGCTGATGGCGATGACGGTGATGATGATGATGATGATGATGATGATGATGACGATATCTCTACCAGCCTCACGAGCATTATCATGCATGCTTTTCCCAGTGATCTTTGCGTGACCTCGGTATGCGATTCATGACCACAGCAATAAATCCCTAAACCCTAAACCCTAAACCCTAAACCTTAAACCCTAAACCCTAAACCCTAAACCCGAAACCCTAAACCCTAAACCCTAAACCCTAAACCCTAAACCCTAAACCCTCAACCCTCAACCCTCAACCCTCAACCCTCAACCCTCAACCCTCAACCCTAAACCCTAAACCCTAAACCCTAAACCCTAAACCCTAAACCCTAAACCCAAAGAGAGGTGTCTCCTGGCTCAGGCAGTCGCATCCTTGGAGGACGTGACAGGAGGGGAGCTGGAAGATGAGAAGATCGAGGACAGTGGGTTTCGGGTTAAGCTAAGCCCTAAACCCTAAACCCTAAACCCTAACCCTAGGCCCTAGCCCCTAGCCCCTAAGCAAAAGCCCTAAGCCCTAAGCCCTAAGCCCTAAGCCCCAAGCCCCAAGCCCTAAGCCCTGGGCGCCCTAAGCCCTAAGCCCTAAGCCCTAAGCCCTAAGCCCTAAGCCCTAAGCCCTAAGCCCTAAGCCCTAAGCCCTAAGCCCTAAGCCCTAAGCCCTAGCCCTAAGCCCTAAGCCCTAAGCCCTAAGCCCTAAGCCCTAAGCCCTAAGCCTAAGCCCTAAGCCCGAAGCCCTAAGCCCTAAGCCCTAAGCCCTGAGCCTGAGCCCTGAGCCCCAGCCCTAAGCCCTAAGCCCTAAGCCCTAAGCCCTAAGCCCTAAGCCCTAAGCCCTAAGCCCTAAGCCCTAAGCCCTAAGCCCTAAGCCCTAAGCCCTAAGCCCTCAGCCCTCAGCCCTCAGCCCTAAGCCCTAAGCCCTAAGCCCTAAGCCCTAAGCCCTAAGCCCTAAGCCCTAAGCCCTAAACGATGTGGGAAGCAGAGGGGGTTTTATTATTGTGGATTCTGCAAACCCTTGGGCTCCTTCAGGCCCATGGAGGCCCCTGGAGGTTGATTGGAGGGTACTGAAGCCTTACCAAGGCCCGAAGCCCTGAACTCCCCCTCCCCCCAAAAAAAAGAGAGCAAAAACCAACAAAAAGAACAAAACAGAGAGAGAGAGAGAGAGAGAGATATATATGTATATATGTATATATGTATATATGTATATATGTATATATGTATATATGTATATATGTATATATGTATATATGTATATATGTATATATGTATATATGTATATATGTATATATGTATATATGTATATATGTATATAAACAAAAACAAACTAGCACATAGCATACAACAATGACATAACAAAAAGCAACATAAAGGAAAGCCCCAAACATCCTAAAGGTTCTGTGCAGCTCTTCTCTCAGAGGGCTGGTGGGGGGGGGGGGAGGCCTTTGAGCTGTGGGAGACAAATTCCTAGGACGCTAAAACCTGAAACCCCTAAACTCCTCTAAGCCCTAAACCCTAAACCCCCCACTTTTCAACCGAAAACACTCCCTAAAGCCCCAAAGCACCTCCCCCCCCCTCCCCCCCCCCTCCCCCCTCCCCCCCCCCCTCCCCCCCCCTCCCCCCCCCTCCCCCCCTCCCCCCCCCTCCCCCCCCCTCCCCCCCCCTCCCCCCTCCCCCCCCCCTCCCCCCCCCTCCCCCCCCCGCTCCCCCCCCCTCCCCCCCCCTCCCCCCCCCCTCCCCCCCCCCCCCCCTAAACCCCTAAACCCTCTAAACCCTCTAAAACCCTCTACAACCCTCTAAACCCGAAAACCCTAAACCCTAACCCTAACCCTAAACCCTAACCCTAACCCGAAACCAACCCTAACCCTAACCCTAAACCCTAACATCTTTTTTTCTCTTAGACCCTTCGGAGAGGATGGAGGTAGGCCCCCATCCAGCGCTCGCAACATCCTCGCCAAGCCAAGGAAGGCCCTCAAGGCGGCCCGAAATGGTAGGGTTTAGGGTTTTAGGGTTAGGGTTTAGGGGTTAGGGGTTTAGGGGTTTAGGGGTTTGGGGTTTAGGTTTAGGGGTTTAGGGGTTTAGGGGTTTAGGGGTTTAGGGGTTTAGGGGTTTAGGGGTTTAGGGGTTTAGGGGTTAGGGGTTTAGGGGTTTAGGGGTTTAGGGGTTTAGGGGTTTAGGGGTTTAGAGGTTTAGGGGTTTAGGGGTTGAGGGTTGAGGGTTGAGGGTTGAGGGTTGAGGGTTGAGGGTTGAGGGTTGAGGGTTCGGAGTTTAGGGTTTAGGCTTTAGGGCTATTTTGGGGTTTGAGGGGTTTTGGGCTCCAGGGTTGAGGGTTGAATCGAACCCCTGAGCCCTAAACCCTCAGAGCCTAGGTGGTCGGGCGTTTCGGGGTGTGGGTTCAGGGGCTCAGGGGCTTGCGGGTTTAGGGGCAAGCCCCTCAACCCCTAAAGCTCGAACTGAACCTTAATTTACCCCTAAAAACCCTCAGAACCCCTAAACAAACAACAGCCCACCCTAAACCCTCAATTCCCTAAGCGCCCCTAAGTCCCCAAACACCCTAAGCCCCCAAAAAACCCTAAACCCCTAAAACCCCCCCTAAACACTAGAGCCCTAAACCCTAAACCCTAAACCCTAAACCCTAAACCCTAAACCCTAAACCCTAAACCCTAAACCCTAAACCCTAAACCCTAAACCCTAAACCCTAAGCCCTAAGCCCTAAACCCTAAAACCTAAACCCTAAACCCTAAACCCTAAACCCTAAGCCCTAAACCCTAAACCCTAAACCGTTGGAACCCCTTAGAACCCTCCCAAACCCCCAAAAGGCCTCAGCCGGCTTCGCCGCCCGCCGCCGGACCGCAGAGGGCCCGCTGAAGGCGCGTGCGTCGTTAGGGTTTAGGGTTTAGGGTTTAGGGTTTAGGGTTTAGGGTTTAGGGTTTAGGGTTTAGGGTTTAGGGTTTAGGGTTTAGGGTTTAGGGTTTAGGGTTTAGGGTTTAGGGTTTAGGGTTTAGGTATTAGGGTTTTGGGTTGGGGTTTAGGGTTTAGGGGTTAGGGTATAGGGCTTAGAGGCTTTTGGGGGCTTTGTTCGGGCTTCCAGGGGCTGAATTAGGGGTGTGTCGTGAAAATCGGGGTTTAGGACGATAGGGAATGTAGGGGTTTGGGGCTTAGGGTCCCTTGAACCCTAGACCTTCAGCCATTCAAGTTCCTAAGTCCCCTAAACTAAACTCTGTGGCAAGATCTAGGAATTGAAGGTTTCAAGAAACCCAAACCCTAAATCCTAAACCCCGAAGGGTTTTTTCGGCCGTTAGGGTGGTAAACCCGAATGATGTGTCTCTCCTTAGGCCGCACTGCAGTCCATTGCGGAGAAAACTGGGCAGGCGCCACAAGGTTTAGGGTTTAGGGTTTAGGGTGTAGGGTGTAGGGTGTAGGGTTTAGGGTTTAGGGTTTACAGTACAGGGTTTAGGGTTTGGGGGGGCTTTAGGGGGCTTCGACGCTTTCGCGGTTTGGGGTTCAGGGCGAGGGGGTATGGAGCTAGCACCAAACACGAGTTAGGGTTCAGGGTTTAGGGTTTAGGAATTAGGGTTTCAAGTTAAGGAACGTGTTTAGGTTACAGTCATAGGCTCATAGGCTTGTGTCGTGAACTAGTACTCAATAGAGCCTTACCTGCCTCCTCCTGATCACACAAACACACACATGCGCCTGAGTTCAAGCTTCTGCTACATGGTTTCCGTATTCTGGCGCCTCAATGTATGTTCCTGCACAGCAACACAGGTATCTAGCAGGTCAATCTGGGGTTTCGGTGGCACCTACAGAGGTGTTTTTCTCTCTTGACCAGACGGATGCGGTGTCATGGGCCTACATTGGGTTTACGGATTTTGGCAGCCCACCCCCGCGATCAGAGTTTTGTCCGCAAGGGCGGCAGGCAGCCCCCCAAAGCAGTCATCACAGCCAGCCTGCCGGCCCTAAACCCTAGGCCCTAAAACCCTAAGCCCTAAACCCGAAACCCGAAACCCTAAACCCGAACCCCTAAACCCCCAACCCCTAAATCTCCTAAATCCGACCTCCGAAGCCACCCAAACCCTGCTTTCGAGGTGCAGGCGAAGCTGAACGCGATGTTGGCAGCTTCCAAGGCTCCCTGAACCCTAAACCCTAAACCCTAAACCCTAAACCCTAAACCCTAAACCCTAAACCCTAAACCCGAAACCCTAAACCCTCAACCATCAACCCTCCACCCTCAACCTAAACCCTAAACCCTAAGCCCTAAACCTCAGACCCGAAGCCCAAAGGCCGAGCATCACTGCCCTTTCTGCGGTTCAGGGCTGGCACGTTGTAGATCAAGTTGGGAGTTGTGGGGTTTGCAAGCTTGATGCTGGGGCGGGGGGAGGGGGGGACTGCGCTTCTTGGAGTTTTGGGTCCGGGTTTTAGGGTTTGGGGTTGAGGGGTTGAGGGGTTGAGGGGTTGAGGGGTTGAGGGGTTGAGGGGTTGAGGGGTTGAGGGGTTGAGGGGTTTAGGGGTTTAGGGGTTTAGGGGTTTAGGGGTTTAGGGGTTTAGGGGTTTAGGGTTTAGGGGTTTAGGGTTTAGGGGTTTAGGGTTTCCAGCGTTAGGTCTTGGCATTGACAAGCACCACCTTGACCCTAAACCGTCAGCCCGAAAGTGGGGGTTAAGGGCTGAGGGCACCCCAAAAATAACTTTTGCCCAAAGGGGGTTTAGGGTTTAGGGTTTAGGGTTTAGGGTTTGGGGTTTAGGGTTCAGGGTTTAGAGTTTAGAGTTTAGGGTTTAGGGCCCTGTTAGTGTTCCCAAGGGGTCACGGGAAATTTTAACGACCCTTTTCGGCACGAGAGGTGCAGCGCGGCCGCATCGAGTCCGCAGCGAAGCTGCGTGAGGTGCACCTGCGGGACGGGTTTAGGGTTTAGGGTTTAGGGTTTAGGGTTTAGGGTTTAGGGTTTAGGTAGGGTTTAGGGTTTAGGGTTTGGGATTTAGGATTTTCGGGTTTAGGGTTTAGGGTTTTCGGGTTAAGGTTCAGGGTTCAGGGTTTAGTATGGTTTAGGGTTCAGGGTTTGAGCTTTACGGTTTGGGGTGATTGGCTTGGGTGAGCTTTCGTGTTTGGAGTATAGCATTTCTACCTTTTAGGGTTTAGCTTGGAATCTTGTCCGTGTTGCAAACTTCGCCTTCGCCTTGGTCTATTTCTCGTGCGCCAGGGTTTACATTACTGTCTTTGGTGAGTGGAAAGAGGGTGCCTTTGCAAATCTTGGTGAGTGCAACAATATGCCGCCACCCAGCGAACTCCAAGCCCCAAACCCTAAACCCTAAACCCTAAACCCTAAACCCTAAACCCTAAACCCTAAACCCTAAACCCTAAACCCTAAACCCTAACCCTAAACCCTAAACCCTAAACCCTAAACTCCAAGCCCCAATACCCTAAACCCTAAACCCCAAACCCTAAAGGCCCTGAAGCTTGAGCTTCGGAGGTGAAGGCCAAGGCTGACCTCGTGGAGCAGCTCTTGGAGAAGGCCCGCCAGGTTTTTCAGGTTATAGGGTTCAGGGTTCAGGGTTCAGGGTTTAGGGTTTAGGGTTTAGGGTTTAGGGTTTAGGGTTTAGGGTTTAGGGTGTAGGTTCAGGGCACCCCAAGGATCTCGGGTAGGTGGGCTTTTGGAGTTCGGAACTTGCGGTTGGGTGTCTGCTTGGGTGCAGCAATGGGGAGGGATTTGGAGCTTTACTAGGTAGTCATATTGTAGGTTCTCCCTTATCGGGTTTAAGAGGATGATATTTAGGAATATTTTTCAGAGGGTATTGTGGGCCATCCTAGTTTGGGGTTGAGGACTTTTCGTGGCTTTTGGGGGTTCAGGGTTTGCAGCCAACTCTTTCGGCTTGTTGAAGAACCCAGGCCCAAACGAGACCCCGAGCTCCTTAACCCTGTAGACTCTGGACTACCCACTCACCCATCTTTTCCCAAAACCCTAAACCCTAAATTGTAAACTTTTCATGACCCCGTATTAAGCACTCAAGGTGAGCGAGACGGAGCTCCCCTTCCTGAAAGGGCTGGAGATCCTTCCCCCGGACGAGGTGGCGAGGGTTCAGAGCGGAGGGTTTAGGGTTTCGTGGGATTGAGGGTTTGGGGTTTAAAGATTTTAGGGTCTAGGGCCGGGGGACGTTGTTGCTTAAACGTTGCAGGGTATGCCTCTTTGAACCTCCAAGATTCGGGGTGGAGGGGGTGTGAGTTGAGGCGCATGGGTCTGGCCGCGTTTGAGGATTCGCAAGCCCCAAACCCCCTAAACCCCCCAAAAAACCCCCCAAACCCCCTAAACCCCCTAAACCCCCATCCTAAACCCCCTAAACCCCCACCCTAAACCCCCTAAACCCCTAAATCCCCCAAATCCCCAAACCCCCTAAACCCCCTAAACCCCCCAAACCCCCCAAACCCCCTAAACCCTTAAACCCCAGCGCCCAAGCATGTCGATACAGGGGACCCCCCCCCCCCCCCTCGGGCGAGGTGGCGGAAACGGTGGGTGCCGCTGAACAGGCGGCCGAGGAGTTGGAGGCGGTGCGGATCTGGACTTCCTTTCGGGTCAGTTTATGTCTAAGGTTAGAACCGTGCGTCCGTAGTATGGTCTCTTACCCTTGTTTAAAGGGGTGCAACGGGATCCGAAGTATGGGCCCTTTTTATGCACGGGGGATTTAAGGGGTACCCCCCCCCCCCCGTTCGAGGGTCCCCCCTTGGGTTTAATGTTGTCAGGATGTATGTTAGCTTCGGTTTTTGGGGTTTCTGGTTTAGCCTCAGAAGCTCCGCCAGAAGGAGCACAGGCCATGGCCACCAAGAGCCAGAAGCAAAGAGAATCCGGAGCTTGCCTGGATGCGCATCGACCAGTCAGCACATAAGCTGGCGTGCAGCTCAGGTGTCTGGCTGGCAGAACATGGCCGCCAAAGAATGGCGACTTGGGCCCAAGGCACAGTTAGTTTTCACCTGGCCCATTCCGCAGAGTCAGACTTGGGCCCAAGGCACAGTTAGCTTTCACCTGGCCCATTCCGAAGGAGTTCTATGACTCCAGAATCCCACCTGGGTGTCGGGAAGACATCTTTACGCTCCCAAATCCCGGCATTTGGGTACCCTAAACCTCTGAGCTCGTTAACCCTAAGCCACAACAACTCAAGATTTAGAAGGGAGATTAGGGTGCAAGGTTCAGGGGCCCCCCTGAATGTACTCCGAACCCATGGTAAACCCTAAGCCCTGCAAATCCTTAGGATTTAGGGGTCGGGCTTTTGGGTTTCAAGGTTTTTCTTGGCTTGTAGGGCTTGGGGGATGCTGAAGCGGCGGAGAGTTTGGAGGCTTGTTCACTGTGGCTTCGGCTTTCGGGCTTTCATATACCGACTGCACCTTGAAAGGCTCCCAAATTCTCCCGCGAGAAGACCAGAGCGCAACCCAAAGACCTAAAACCCTAAACCCGAAACCCTAGTTTCTAGGGGGGTTGATGGGGTTTACAAGGCCTAACCCGTCAAGAAGCATTAGGGTTGAGGGCTCAGAATGGTTTAAACAGCCCAAACATAAGCCTAAGTAGGGAACACACTAAATAGCCTAAACCCTAAACCCTAAACCCTAAACCCTAAACCCTAAACCCTAAACCCTAAACCCTAGACCCTAAACCCTAAACCCTAAACCCTAAACCCTAAACCCTAAACCCTAAACCCTCTAAAGCCTAGAGTCCCAGGGTTCAGCGCCACCTCGCAGGCAGCCATCGTCGAAGCTCGCAAGATCCATGCATCTGCGGCCCTGGCCCCGCGGCAGAGCAGCCGAGGATTTTGGGGTCCCCCAGGCTTAAGCTTCAAGGCTTATCATCAGGGTTTAGGGTTTAGGGTTTAGGGTTTAGGGTTTAGGGCTGAGGGAGCGTTTCCAGGGTTTCGGGTTCGGGTGTCAAGGTGCCGGTGTCGGAAGTCCGGGGCATCTTGAGGCAGCGAGTTTCCCCACCTGCGCACCTTGCATAATCCGTTGCTCTCTTCTGTTTTTGCGGGCATGAATTCATCTGAGCAAGCCGCATCACACGATTCCAGGAGAAAGTGTGGCGCACATGTTGCAGTTGTGTTGACCCTAAACCCCCATGGGCGATCCTCAGGACCTTATGAACAGCAAGCCCCCTGCTTACATTCCATTCATTCGTTCAGACGGTTTAGGGTTTAGGGTTTAGGGTTTAGGGTTTAGGGTTTAGGGTTTAGGGGTTTCATGGTCGACCTCGGGGGGATATCCAATCAGTACGTCGCGAGTGCAGGCCGCACAGGGACCTAAGGCCCATAAGAATCGGAGTCGTTCTCATGGGCCCTAAGCCCTAAACCCTAAACCCTAAACCCTAAACCCTAAACCCTAAGCCCTAAACCCTAAACCCTAAACCCTAAACCCTCAACCCTAAACCCTCAACCCTGAACCCTGAACTGCAAACCAGGTCTGCCCTTACATGGTTCCCTTCGCACAGTCAGACAAAACCTCTGAAGCTATAGTTTAGTGTTTAGGGTTTTGCCCCCCCTCCCCCGAAGCCAACCCTAAATCTTTAACCCTTGAGTCTTAGGATTCTAGGCCCCCCAAACTCGTAGATCAAGGCCTTTGCTCCCTTCCTTGTGAGCCATAGAGCTCGTGGGTATTAGGGTTTCGTGGTTGAGGCTCTAAAACCAGTTTATATACATATATATATATAATATAAAGATAAATATGAATAAATAAATATAAAGAACAATAAAAATATAAATATAAATATGAATATGAATATGAATATCAATATAAATATAAATAGATAAATAAATATATATAAATAAATAGAAATAGAAATAGAAATAGAAATAGAAATAGAAATAGAAATAGAAATAGAAATAGAAATAGAAATAGAAAGAGAAAGAAAGAAATAAATAAATATATATATATGGTCACACCCCCCCCCCATGATCCATATGTATCCTTTTCTTGCTTGTCCTTCTGCACCTGTGCTTATTTGCACATATGGTTGAAGTGAAAAAACACCGGTATTTACGATACTTTCGTGTCTTGCCATGTCTGAAGCTACAACTTGCTATTGATTATCTACACGTTTAAACAACAGAAATCTACAAACAGAATCCGTTTCTGGATTTGGTTTTGTGTGGTTTGCTAATCTCTGTTATTCACTCTATAGTAGCTTCCAATATACACCTTCTTGAACTTCAACACTATTCATTGATTAGATAAAATATTACCTTATAAACCATTGTATAATGCATGAACATAAAAGAAGAGATGAAGGGGTTTCAAATAAAGCACCTAACACAAGAAGCAGACTACATAATGAAGTTAGAGACGAATTCGCAAAGACAGAGACATTCTTAACGGACACGCAAGGACTTAAATTAGCGTATGAGAATCCTGACGGGATATCTAAAAAATGGTTCTATTTTATACATTGCTGGGACTAAAAGCTGTAGAGATGTTTATGGTGATTGAAACCTTCCTTAATATAAGACGCAACTGACTCAGCGTTATAAAGATGTAGATAAGTTCATTCAAGATGGTTTTATTGAAATAGACGGTTAAAGAAAAGAAGAAACTGGAATTTCTGGTATTGTAAGTCACAGTTTAGGTTCAGCATCGGGACAACAAATAAACAATGATTATGGGAATGTATTCAGAAGTCGTAGCTATGGTTCTCCTTATGTATCAGGACAACGACCAGAAGACACTGGGACAAAACATATGAATACGGAAAGTAGACGACCCCGTTAGTATGTTTGAAAAAGGAAGTATACCATCAAAGAAATCAACATTAGACCCTCTACAAAAACATCCTTATGAAGATATAGGCAATATTAAAACAAAGCAAGACATAACCGAAGAAGAGTTTTTAACAACAGTTTGATGCCATAATCATTTCATAAGAAAGCAACAACATACGAACAAATAGAGACATCGAAGATAGAGAAGCAACTTAAACAACACGCTTACGAAGAGATAAGAAAGTTAGTTGAGAATAATTAAGTAGATGAAGCAGTTAAGCAGGTGAAAGGTAGGAAGAAGAATAATAGTAAGACACTTCATATAGTTTTGAATTACTTGATTGAATACAAGTTGAAGGTATGTATATGTAATCAAATTATATATGCTATTTATATATCATGGAAACTTTTAGTCCCGCAGATATCCTCATTGATAGTTTAAGTTTTCTTTGACACAAAGGTAGTTCTTATGTTAATTGTCAAGGGTTTAAGACCAAAACGATTGTTGGATTTAAACCATTGCGTGGCCTCTTCTCACAAGTTAGATATTTGCCGTCAAAAAATATGGGAAACTTACCAATTGAAATAGAATTGGTAACTAATGCTACTAATTGTATCAATTACCGCAGTCAGAATATCAAGAGATTTCGGGAAAACTCGAGCCGGCTCGAATTTTCCGAAAAATCTCCAGGCACCAGGTCACCACAACTCGAGCAGGCTCGAATTTTCCAAAAAAAACCTACATTCTGTCATCTATGAGACCTTGGGGTCACACAGCCATCAGCATATTTTTTAGAAAATTCGAGCCGGCTCGAATCTTCCGAAAATTCTTGAAGCTCCAGGTCTCGAAAACTCGAGCAGGCTCGAATTTTCCAAAAAAAACCTAAATCATGTCATCTATGAGGCCTTGGGGTCACACAGCTATGGTTTCAGCATTTTTTTAGAAAACTCGAGCCGGCTCGAATTTTCCGAAAATTCTTGAAGCTCCAGGTCTCGAAAACTCGAGCAGGCTCGAATTTTCCAAAAAAAACCGAACTTTCAGGATCTACCGGGCTGCTGGAGCCATAGATCCTGAAATTTAGGTTTTTTTTGGAAAATTCGAGCCTGGTCGTGTTTCGGCAATCTACTGTGTCAGTTTTTTTTGGAAAATTCGAGCCGGCTCGAATTTTCCTAAAATTCTTGAAGCTTTAGGTCCCAGAAACTCGAGCAGGCTCGAATTTTCCAAAAAAAACCTAACTTTCAGGATCTACCGGGCTGCTGGAGCCATAGATCCTGAAATTTAGGTTTTTTTTGGAAAATTCGAGCCTGGTCGTGTTTCGGCAATCTACTGTGTCAGTTTTTTTTTGGAAAATTCGAGCCGGCTCGAATTTTCCTAAAATTCTTGAAGCTTTAGGTCCCAGAAACTCGAGCAGGCTCGAATTTTCCAAAAAAAACCTAACTTTCAGGATCTACCGGGCTGCTGGAGCCATAGATCCTGAAATTTAGGTTTTTTTTGGAAAATTCGAGCCTGGTCGTGTTTCGGCAATCTACTGTGTCAGTTTTTTTTGGAAAATTCGAGCCGGCTCGAATTTTCCGAAAATTCTTGAAGCTTTAGGTCCCAGAAACTCGAGCAGGCTCGAATTTTCCAAAAAAACCTAACTTTCAGGATCTACCGGGCTGCTGGAGCCATAGATCCTGAAATTTAGGTTTTTTTGGAAAATTCGAGCCTGCTCGTGTTTGGGCGACCTACTGTGTCAGTTTTTTTTGGAAAATTCGAGCCGGCTCGAGTTTTCTAAAAAAGCATGATTTTTTCGGGTATTTTTCTACCTTGTTGATGTAAATGACCTGCCTGACTTGAAATGATATAGGTTTTTATCGGCCCTGTCGGTGTTTTTGTCGCTAGCTCATAGCCCCCTCTCCTCCCAAGATCCATCTGTTTCGAAGCAGAAACGTGGATCATGGGGGGGGGCGTGAGCATATATATATATATATATATATATAGCGGGAACCCTTTTTCGACCTAGGCTTCTGTGCACATGCAGCCGAAACCCTACATCCTGAATCCGTTCTGTTTCTAAGGAGATGAAGACCAGCCTTTCGGGAGACGCGCTCAAGAAGTTCACTCAGGCGAAACGGCTGCCAATTCTGTTCCTCTGGTGCTCAATGACAGTACCCTGTACGTACGCAAGTTTTTTGCTAGATGCTTGTTTTTTGCTAGATGCTTGAACCCTAAACCCTAAAGCCTAAAGCCTAAAGCCTAAACCCTAAACCCTCTACCGTGAACCTTAAGCCTTGGGATGTTCCCCCTCATACTAATGAACAGTCCTTAACGGGATTTATAGCAATTACCGCCCTAGTATAGTTCCTATTTAGGTCTGTTAGTATAAGGGGGAACATCCCCGTAAGCCCTACACCAGAACACGACACCGTAGACTTGGAGTTATGTTGTCCACTCTTCTAGGATGGGAAGCCGTAAACCCTAAACCCTCCACCCTCACCCCTCAAGCCCTAAGCCCGAAAAGCCCCAAGCCCTAAAACCCTAAACCCTAAACGCTAACCCCTCCGGGAACCCGACCTTGCGCAAGACGCTCAACTCAACTCCCGAGCCATTTCCTAAGACCGTAGGGTTTAGGGTTTAGGGTTTAGGGTTTAGGGTTCTTTCCAAGAGCTTCTGAAAGAAGAGGACGTGACGCAGCAGTCTGCCCGCGTGAACGCTGCCGCAGCGCAGCTTCTTCAGTTCCGCAAGGCCCACACAAGCTTCGGTTTGGAGTTTGGAGTTTAGGGTTTAGGGTTTAGGGTTTAGGGTTCAGGGTTTAGGGTTTAGGGTTTAGGGTTTAGGGTTTAAACCCTTAAATCCTGAAGTCGGCCACCCCCCAACACCGAACCCAGAGGCCTCCGGGAAGGGAGAGTTTCAGCCGAGATCCAGGGTATTCCCCAACGCCGACCTGAAGTCCAACGGTTTAGGGTTTAGGGTTTAGGGTTTAGGGTTTAGGGTTTAGGGTTTAGGGTTTAGGGTTTAGGGTTTAGGGTTTAGGGTTTAGGGTTTAGGGTTTAGGGTTTAGGGTTTAGGGGCAGCAGCAGCAGCAGCAAAGCCCATCGACGTGCGCCGTGTGCGGCTTGAGTGGGCCTAGGCCAAGCTGCCTGCGTGAAATCTGGCATGAAGCTGTGCGAACCTCGAATGTGACTGCCTCGAAGATGAAGCCCTAGAAGCACTAAAGACCCTGAAAGCCTGTTTAAACTTGCGAAGGCTCTCCTAGCGGAAGAGGAACGCCAAAATGCTTTGCTCCAGCACTGTGCAGTGAGAGCCCTCGGGAACTCAACTTGTGCAAAAAATAAGAAGTTGAATTCGTGTTGGCCGCCTTGCGGACTGGTACAAAGCTTAGAGCCTCAGGGCCTTCGGGCTTTAAAGGGTTTTGGGGTTTGGGGTTTTGTGGAACCCCCACTTCCCCTAAATCCCGATCTCCCGCAAACCCCCAAAGCCCCCCAAACCCCCACCCCCCCAAACCCGCCCCCTCCCCCCTACCCTACCCCACCTCTCCCCTCCACCCTACCCCCCGCCCCCACCACCTACCAGGCGAACTCTGCGCGCCGGAAAGCGGCGCAGCGGCAGGAAGCAGCGACTTGGCTGATTTTGTGGTGTTCCTTGCGGGGTTCCGGGTTTGAGGTTTAGGGTTTGGGGTTTAGGGTTTAGGGGTTAGGGTTTAGGGGTTAGGTTTGGGGTTTGGGATGTAGGGTTAAGGGTTGAGGGTTCAGGGTTCAGGGGGCATCACAATTTGTTTCTAGAGTAGCCGGGATTCTCAGGGGTGTTTGGTGCAAAGTAAGAGGAAAACTGGCTTAAGCATGTAAAGTAAAATATGTTCCTTCATGTTGCGGCACAAAATGGCGGGTGATGCGCTGCTTGACACCCTAGACCCCAGACCCTAGACCCTAGACCCTAGACCCTAGACCCTAGACCCTCCTAGACCCTAGACCCTAGACCCTAGACCCTAGACCCTAAACCCTAAACCCTAAACCTGGACAAAACTGAGCCGTACTCTACCGGCCCATGTTGTAGACCAGTGCGCCTGACATGCCTATGGCTATGCGGCCCGCAACCCAAGGCCCCTAGATCCTAAGCCTATAGGGTTTAGGGTTAACTCAAACCCTAACCCCTAACCCCTAACCTCTAACCCCTAAACCCTAAACCCTAAATCCCAAATCCTAAACTAGTTTCTGAACCCTCTCACCTGAGGAAGGCAAGGTCGTGGAGCTTGAGAAGGCACGCCCTCAAAGTCTCGGTTTGGGGTACCTTCTTGGGATTTCGGGGGTTTAGGGTTTAGGGTTTAGGGTATAGGGTTTAGGGTTTAGGGTTTAGGGTTTAGGACAAAACCCGACGGCCAGAGACAAGATAGAGCTTCAGGCCTTTAGGGTCAAGGTTTTCCGTTTTAGGTTTCAGGGTTTAGGGTGTAGGTTCTAGGGTTAAGGGTTGAGGCTTTCGGGGCTTGAATGCACGGGGTTCAAGTTAGAAGTCCTTAGGGGGCACCATCCGGGAGCAGGCGCGGCAGTTGACTGCTTCCCACTGCAGGGGACAGCTCAGATGGCTAGTAGATCTCCCAAGTGGGCTCTTTTTCCTTCCTTGTGGTGCCAGGTTCCCTACAAAACTGCCCAACGATAAGAAGTGGAGCCTGTTTATGCCTGTGTTATTGGGGTCCACCCTAAACCCCCTTAACCCCCCTATGTCCCCCCAAGCTCCCTAAACCCCCGAAGGCCCAGCACCCTACATTCACCCTCAGCCCTACAATCCCCGACGGCGCGGATGCACGAAGCGTCAGAAGTCTCCCGATGGGAAAGCTCGCCGAGTGGTGAAGCCTGAGCCTCTCGTCTGGCGTCTGAGAGGGACATGGGCATGGCCCCGTGAAAGCCCTGGAACAACCATCTCCGATCAGCAGCGCTAAGAGGTTCGGGTCGAGGTTTCCAGGGAATGGCGCATTTGAGAATTCTAAGCCTGGGCGAGAAGTTTCGCAGAGTCCTAAGGTTAGAGAAACTACCCATATTCAGTTTGTTCTGTTCAGATGCACAGACCACGGCAATCCTAACCACAATTGCTGCCATCCTAAAAGCCTGTTGGCGTGCAGGTCGTGGCGGAGTTGGCAGAGGAGGCCACGAGAAGGTTTAGGGTTTAGGGTTTAGGGTTTAGGGTTTAGGGTTTAGGGTTTAGGGTTTGCTAGGGTTTAGGGTTTGCTAGGGTTTGGGATTTCAGGCAGAAGCTGTGGTAACCTGTACCCTTTTTTTGTTCAAGTTGCCCTTAGAAAGTAGCCAACCCCAAAAAGGGTGCCCTTATTATAATAAGGTTACTGGGCTACCAAGAAACTGGTAGCTGGTATCCCATGAGGGTCTTGGCTGACGCCCATCACCCGGCAACATCCCGACAGTGTAAACCCGCTGGGCACAGGGTTTTGGATTCCCCCCCAAACCCTAAACCCTAAACTTTAAGCCGCTGTAGGGTCTGGCAGTAGGAGTGGGTGTAGAGCATCTGGAGGGTCTAGGTTTCTTAGGGCTTTGGGGTTTTCGGGAGTTTTAGGGCTTGCTTGGGGTTGAGCATTCCGGAGCTCCAGGCGAAGAGCCTTTCGGAAGGCAACCTCCCTGAGGAGGACGGCCCTAGGGTTCAGGCAAGAGGCTTTTGGGGTTTTTGGGTAAGCGGGCTAGTTTGGGATGTTCCCCCGTTATACTAAAGGTCCTTAACGGGGGATTTATAGTTCCCCCCATGACAATCCCCATGAAGGACTGTTAGTAAGGGGCAACCCTAACCCTAAACCCTAAACCCTAAACCCTAAACCCTCAACCCTAAACCCTAAACCCTATATCCCGAGGGCAGCGCCTAAGTCCGCAGCTCTAAACCCTAAGCCCCAAACGCCTACACCGCAAATCCTAAGCCCAAAAAGCCCTAAGGCTTGAACCCCAGGAGTGCGGGTTCAGGGTTTAGGGTTTAGGGTTTAGGGTTTAGGGTTTAGGGTTGAGGGTTTCGGGTTTAGGGTTTTTAGCGTTCACCTGGTTTGGTTGGTTAACTGCGGCTGCGCCTAAGAACCCCTCAACCCTCGTCCAAGGGTACTAAGGCATGAGGGGAGAGTAGGAGGGTTTGTGAGCACCCTGAACCCTAATCCCTAAACCCTAAACCCTATAGCCTAAACCCCTAAACCCCTAAACCCCTAAACCCCTAAACCCCTAAACCCCTAAACCCCTAAACCCCTAAACCCCTGAACCCCTGAACCCCTAAACCCCTAAACCCCTAAACCCCTAAAGCCCGAAACCCCTAAACCCCTAAACCCCTGAACCCCTGAGCCCCTAGACCCCTAAACCCCTAAACCCCTAAACCCTAAACCCTAAACAGCCCTATACTAAACCTTAAGCCAGCAAACCTTATCCCCAAAGCCTCAGCCCTAAGCCCCTAAACCCAATAAGAAAAGTGTGCGAGGAGCTGGCAGTGCGATCCGGCAAAGCCAGCGAAAAGGTTGGGAATAAGGGGTTCAACGGAGGTGTTTGTGTTGGGATTAGGGTTTGAGGTTCAGGGTTCAGGGTTCAGGGTTTAGGGTTTAGGGTTTAGGGTTTAGGGCTTAGATTATTGGCCGCAACGCCAGGGTTCGGAGGGGAGTGGGGTTAAACCCTATAGAACTACTCCCCAGAATCTGAGCCATAACCCATTTGCGGGTTGTTTCTACCACTTGGTTCCAAGGGTAGTTGCATGGTCCCTTGATATGGTCTCGGGTCCCCAATTAAACTAAGGGACCATGTAGCCATCCTTAGATTGGTGACTCGTGTCTGCATCATGGCATGCTCCTCAGGTTCTTGTTTGCCCACAAGGTTTTCGAGGAGCAAAATCCCAGAGAATCCTTCCGCTCCTAAACCCTAAACCCTAAACCCTAAACCCTAAACCCTAAAAGCTAAACCCTCGGTGAGCCCACCTGACAACACAAGGAGGTGTTTTTATTTCCAAGCTTTTTGTTTGCGGGGTTTAGGCTTTAACCCGGAGCCCTAAACCCCTTACCCTAAATCCTAAACCCTAAACCCCAAACCCTAAACCCCAAACCCTAAACCCTAAACCCTTATTCCTGACTTCTGCTGCTGGGGATTCAGTTCAAGGCCCTAAGGACTTGGAGAGCATGACAGGCTCAGTTGGCCAGGGGCTTCTTAGTCTCCTGGCTTTCGGTTTACACGGGGGTTTAGGGGTTTAGGGTTTAGGGTTTACGAAAATAGGGGACCCTTAACATAGCCCCGCAAATAATAGGATTCCTTTATAGTAAGGACCCCAATAAGGTACCCCCCCCCCCCCCAATTTCTGAAACCAGCAAATAGTTTCGGAGCAGAGTTGACTGATTTAAATCATTTGGGTTTACAGCCCAAGCCCTAACAACCGTAAGCCCTGAACCCTACACCTAAACCTCGCTGAAATCTGAAAAAACGACAACGTCACGCATGCGGGGATCGCTGTATGCTGCCGCGCAGCGCCAAATCGGTGAGCTGGAGAGTCGACTGGCTCGAGCTGAGGCGCGGAGGTTGTGGTTATCCGGTCCTTCTTGCCCTTACATGACATCGGGACATATCGGGACTCTCTGTGGCCGAGTGGAGGCGACGCTGCGAAAGAGACCCGGAGTATTATGCCATGCAAGAGGAAATCCAGTCCTCTGGCCTCTTAGGTGGCCAGCTCCCAAACGCAGGTGTGTTGCAGATCCATATCAATGGATGTGCAGGCATCGAGGCACCCTAGGAGCAGTTGAGAAGCTCCTTGGGTCGGCGTGCTCAAGCGGCCCAAGTCCTGCCCCCCGGGGCCAAGGGTGTACGGTTCAGGGTTTAGGATTTAGGTGTAGGGTTTAGTGCTTAGGGTTTAGGGCCAGTTTAGGGTTTAGGGTTTAGGGTTTAGGGTTTAGGGTTCAGGGTTAGGGTGGACTTGGGGGTTTCGGGTTCGGGGTACGTACCTAGGGCTTCGGGTAAACCCCAAACCCCAAACCCTGCATCGTTGGAGGTGTCATTGGCTCAGCAATCCGTCCGGAGCTGAGTTGGGGGCAGACGCTCCCAACCAAGCCCCAAGTAGCACGGTTTAGGGTTTAGGGTTTAGGGTTGGGGTTTTGGGGGGCGGGCGTTTTGTTTGGGTCGGTCGCGGGTTGATGTTTCGGGGGTTCTGGCTTTTCATACGCGAGAAGCTCCTCCGACTATGCCAGTCACTACGCTCTCACTCTAAAGCCTGAACCCTAAACCCTAATTACACCTAAACCCAGCCCGAAGCACTTGGGATTCCAATAGGGGGTGCTATCAGGACTGTTAGTATAAGGGGGTACTATATCATCCCGATTCAGGGCAACCCCAAAAACCCTAAACCCTAAACCCTAAACCCTAAACCCGAAACCCTAAACCCTAAACCCTAAACCCTAAACCCTAAACCCTAAACCCTAAACCCTAAACCCTAAACCCTAAACCCTAAACCCTAAACCCTAAACCCTAAACCCTAAACCATAAGGGGGAGCATCCCAGCGAAGCACCGCCGCCCGAGGTGGTGGAAGCCCGGGGCCAACTCGTCCGCTGCCAGCGCGAGGGCGGGGAGGAGCCGCCCAAAGGTTTTTTGGGTTCGAAGGGTTCAGGGTTTAGGGTTTAGGGTTTAGGGTTCAGGGTTTAGGGTTTAGGGTTCAAACCGTATACCAAAAACCCCAATTTGAGTTTATAAAAGGTTTTTTGGGTTCAATGGGTTCAGGGTTTAGGGTTTAGGGTTTAGGGTTCAAACCGTATACCAAAAACCCCAATTTGAGTTTATAAAAGGTTTTTTGGGTTCAATGGGTTCAGGGTTTAGGGTTTAGGGTTTAGGGTTCAAACCGTATACCAAAAACCCCAATTTGAGTTTATAAAAGGTTTTTTGGGTTCAATGGGTTCAGGGTTTAGGGTTTAGGGTTTAGGGTTCACAGGGTTTAGGGTTCAAAGGGTTCAGGGTTCAAAGGGTTCAGGGTTCAAAGGGTTCAGGGTTCACAGGGTTCAGGGTTCAAAGGGTTTAGGGTTCAAAGGGTTTAGGGTTCAAAGGGTTTAGGGTTCAAAGGGTTCAGGGTTCAAAGGGTTCAGGGTTCAAACGGTTTAGGGTTCAAAGCGTTTAGGGTTAGAAGGGTGTAAGGTTCAAAGGGTCAAGGGCTGAAAAGCGTTTAGGGTTCAAAGCGTTGAGGGTTCAAAGGGTTTGGGGCTCAAAGGGTTTAGGATTCAATTCGTGTAGGGCTCAAAGGGTTTAGGCTTCAAGGGGTTTAGGGTTGTGAAAGATCCCTTAATAAACCTTAAACCCTAAGCCTTAAAGCCAAAACCCTAAACCCTAAACCTGTTGCCGTTTTCAGTTCTCAACGGCCCGGTAAGAAGGACTTTGTGCAGAAGCTGCGCGAGCTACAGGCCCGGCCCTTGCAGAGGTTGGGTTGGAGGATGTCGGTTTCTTAGAACGAACACAAGGTCTACCTGGGACCCTCTTGACCTACAGGTTAGTTATAAGTATTCCTATTTAGCAGGTATAAGCGGGATAGCTCTTGAAGCTCCAGGTAAATATGGTCCCAGGCAGGGTTTAGGGCTCACTTCCTGTCTTTTTTCTTGCTTCTTTGCAGGGGTGTTTGTTTAGGGTATTCGTAGAAGCAAGCATCCCAAAGCCCCCATCCGTGCTTGAGAGTTCATGGGTAGCTACAAGTACGGGAGTTGCAAATGCATCCATGAACCTCCAAGTACTTTGAACCTCTATACAAGCAGTGCAAATGTTCTGTGCGTAAATGCAAACAGACACACATGCTTGTTGCGACAGTTTTGTTTCATCTTTTCGCCCTCCCTACCCTGCTTAACTCTTTGGAAAATTTGTACTCTCTCGAGCTTTTGATTCTTGCCTTTGCGCGCGTGCTGTGAAGAGGTGGCTTAGGGTTTAGGTGTTTGGGAGCAGACCATGATCCCTAAACCCTAAACCCTAACCCGCGGCCTTTCTTTGGCTTACAAACTCCCCAAAGGCCCCAAGGCAGCATTTAACCCCAGCGGGGTAGTTCTGGGGTTTAGGGTTTAGGGTTTAGGGTTTAGGGTTTAGGGTTTAGGGTTTAGGGTTTAGGGGTTGAGGGTAGGGTTTAGGGTTTATAACCACAGCGGGCTATCCTGCCTGAAGCCGGCAGAAAGTTCCGCGCGCAAACCTGCACGTAAAGCCGTGAGATCCTGTGCTGCAGCTTCAGCCCCCAAACCCTATAGCCGAACCCCTAGACCAACACCTAAAGGACGCTACACCCCCCTACACCCCAAATCCACAACACAAATAAACCTGAAAACCTTCAACTACAAGTCTGACTCCAAACCCCTACAGCCCCAGCCCCTGCCCACCCCCCCCCCCCCTTCCCCGCACAGGCCAAGATTTCTCATGCCAACGTCGCGCTGGCCAAAGCCGGCAAGACCATTGCTGCACCCCGGCCGAGCCGAGATTTGCCCCAGAGCCCCGAAGACCTTACTTGGGGGGGGCCGGGGGGGGGGGGGGAGGGGATGTGCCGGAAACTGTGCGGAGGTCTTCAGAACCCCAAAACCCAGTTGCAGGCTTGTGGAGCTCGAGGGCTTTCAGGGTTCAGGGGCCTCCTAAGGTTTAGGGTTCAGGCTTTAGGGTTTAGTGTCCCGGGTTTGGGGTTTCTGGTCTAGGGCTTGACGGTGGGTGTTTCCAGCCCCACAGGGGTTCCGAACGTTTCGCCCGAGTCCGCATGCTGAGATGGTTTGAGGACCCTGAGAACCCTGCACCCTAAAGCCTAAATGCTACATCCTGAACCCTGTAGGCCCCAAACCCAAAGCAAGGCGCAGACAAGGCTAAAGGATTATTTACGCCGCATGTGGGATGGGAGTGGGGTTTCGGGATTTTTTGGCTTAGAGTCTCGCGGGTTCTCCAAGAATTCAACTGGGGGCGGCGCGCGTCAGACACAGACATACTGAAATCCGAGACAACATGCGCCTTTAGTTAAACCTTAGCTGGGTAGTGCTTGGGGATAATTTTAAGTTTACCTTCTTTCCCTTTCAAGGGAACCTATTCATAAATAGTTTTCAAAGGGCTTTCAAGCACCACTCAGTTAAGCCCTAAGCCCTCAACCAGGAGGTCGAGCTAAAGTTCACTGCTGGCAGGACGAAGGTGGAGGCTGTGCGTTGGGGGCGTGGAGGGGTGGACATAAGGTACGCCACATCCCCCTTATATACATACCCTTTACGGGCTTCTAAGGGTACCCGGTTCCCTCATTCCATACTGAAGGTTTAGCCCCTGAACTTTGAGAAATGAGGAATTGATAGTGTTTTGGTGTAGGGCTTTAAGGGTTTAGGAATCAGCTCTGACTCAGCATAAGTTGTGAAGGGTTTAGGGTGTTTAGGTTCGATGCTTTCAGCTTTTCAGGGTGTCGGAGAGCCAATACTGGGCCTAAACCCTAAACCCTAAACCCTAAACCCTAAACCCTAAACCCTAAACCCTAAACCCTAAACCCTAAACCCTAAACCCTAAACCCTAAACCCTAAACCCTAAACCCTAAACCCTAAACCCTAAACCCTAAACCCTAAACCCTACATGCCTTTTCAACCTGGGCCCCTGGCCTGCTTTGACAGGCTGTCCGGGTCCTGGCGGAGATGGAGGAGCAGGCGCCGGGGCAGTGGTTGGCTGCACTTTTTTGTTTTTATATTATATTATATTATATTATAATATATTATATTATATTATATTATATATATTTTTTGGGGGGGGTGGGGTTTAGGGCTTAGGGTTTAGGGTTCAGGGTTTTAGGGTTCAGGGTTAAGGGTTTATGGTTTAGGTTTTAGGGAACAGGGTTCCCTAGAAGCATCCAACATCTCCAGCGCCTTGTGGAATGGGGTTTAGGGTTCGGGTCTCAATGCTGTTGTGGTTCTTACGGCGGCCCTGACGCTGTTCAGTTCAGCTGCATGCGCCCACGACGCCCAGGAGTCGTCGTTTAAACAGGGGGCTTCTTCGGGCTTGCATCCTCAACACCCTGTGGGCTTTTCTAACCTTATCAGACCAAATCCGTGGCCCTAAGCAAACATTCCGAATCCCCAGCATGCCGAACTTGAACCTCGACGCCGCACCCCAAAGCCGCCCCTCCTCAAGGTCCAGCGTGCCCAAGCAGCCTGCAAGGCTCTTTTGGAGGCCCTTTCTTGGGCAGTTCTCGAAAAGATGGGTAGGCGGCTTCAGGGTTTAGGGTTCAGGGGTAGGATGGAGGGCATACCCTTTCGAGTTGGCTTAGGGTTGATGGGTTTAGGGTCAGAGGGCTTTAGGCTATGATGAGGTCATCGGGGGTGCCTAATCAGAAATCCAGCTAATGGGAGTTTGTATAGGAACCCCCGCAGCAAGCTCCGTTGCGGCTGCCGTTCCTTCTTGAAATTCTTCCGTGTTTTCAGCTCCCCTCGCTGCCCCGGGGCCCTACACATGAAGACAACAGCCCTAAAGCCTGAATCTCAGAGCTTTCGGGTGATTTGGGAACTTCAGGTGCTTAACTCACCCAACCTGCTCTCTGGCCCCAAAACTGCAATCCCCGAACCCCTAAATCAAGCCCCGATCTAAACGGTAATCCCTCAACTCCTGACCCCGAAATCTCTGGTATCTAGGGAACCCAATTCCTGGGCTCATACTCGTGGCCCATAGCTTAACCCCGAGAAACTCCGAGGTCGACAACGCGCTGGGAAGTGCGTAGACCCTGCACCCTACACCCAAACCCTAAGCCCCAAGCTCTAGACCCTAAACCCAAAACCTCCAAACCCTAGACCCTAGACTCGAAACCCGAAACCGTAAATCTGACCCCGATCAAGCCCTAAATCCACACTCTCTGAGGACGAAGCGTCGGCTGTCTTGGTGGAGCCTTGGCTGCTGTATATCCGGGTTGAGGTTGCTGGGTTTCAGGTCCTGAGGCTTAGCAACACAAAGCTGAGGGTGTAGGGTTCAGGGTTAAGGGTTCAGGGTTTAGGGTTCAGGGCACATGCTTCTAAGTTATCAGGGCTTGTAGGGCGTAGAGGGTAGACCTCCAGGGTTTAGGGCTGACTGGGCAGGACCATTACCAGCAGAACATAGCCGCAGCTCTCTGGACACAGATCGCGGAGAAGGCGCCCCGACGAAGGGTCGCTTTAGGGCTTGAGGGCTTTAGGGCTTCAGGGCTTTAGGGCTTTAGGGCTTTAGGGCTTTAGGGCTTTAGGGCTTTTAGGGCTTTTAGGGCTTTAGGGGTTTACGGTTTAGGGATTCGAATAATCCCTTCTGGGTGGGGTTTAGAGTTTCGCTTGAAGATCCGGGCGTAGGTTTGGGCCTGCAAGAGTTCAGAAATTCGGCTGGGAGGGGGTTCCTATCATACGATTCAAAGTCGGCTTGTAGTTTCGCTTTCTCGAGCTTGAGCATATCTAGCAACATGCTTGCGAGGCTTTCAGTAGAGTTTCCTTGCGCGTTCACCCTCTAACCCGGTATACACCTGAATCCCTTATGGACAGGACCCTCCGTCCATAACTAAGGCCTAAACCCTATAAATTCTGTTTACAGGCACGTATCTCCTTATCCCGAGCTCTGAACCTCATCAGCTTGCGAACCTGCGTCTTGCTCATGTTTTCGATGCTCAGCTGCATCCATGATGAGGGCTTCATTCAAAGCGGTTTGCCGTTGGCTCTGCTACTCTGGGGCTACACAACATAGCCTGGGAGTACTGCGGATCAGCAACACTTGTTGCGCAACTGAAGCCGGCCCGAAAATTGTTCACATGGACAGAATGCCCTGCAACAAGAGGTGCGCAGACGACTTCAACACCCCCCGCGTAAGGATGGGCTTCTGAACGACGAATTCGAAGTCGTGAGCCGTGCGGTTACCCTCGTTCTTCGACAGTGGCCGGCTGTGCACTAGAGTCGTACAAGGCGTTACGCCGCAGGGACGCTGAATCGAAGGACCCTCGGCAATTCTGTCTGGGTGGTGGCATCAGAACGTCTCTGTGAACGGTACGTTCGCAGCTGGTCTCGCACGTCGATAAGCACGTCATAGGCCTTGCACACTCTGCGGCGAAACTGCCAAGCCTCTTCGTCCCAAGAAAGCCTCCCGTACGGAAAACTGCTGACAGCAGTTCCCAAGGCTTCGTTGAGCCTTGCGCATGCAGCAATGCAGTCAAGGTGCAGCTTATCATACTGTGTCTTGACCTCGCACGTCAAGGGCGCGGAGGAGCTACCACCAGGATCCAAGTGGATAGGAGGAAAATCTCGAGGAGTTTGCGTCACGGAGCTGGTGCAAAGTCCCCCCTGACATGTGGCATAGGATCCCTGCAGAGTCGTCTGACTGGCGATGTTGTGCGTCCCGACGTCATAGAAATTGTTCCAATTGTGCATGCAGGGTGGCTCCAAAATGGCTTCGATATTCTGCGTCCATTTCTCGAGGTTGTCCATGATGATGCCAATCCGACCCAAAATGCCATGCGCACATCTAGCCCGTGCATCACTGCATTGATGATCTATATCCCTGGTGCCACCAATATCTTCCTTTGCCCGCCCATACTCAATCGGTGGAATCTCCAGGCTCTTAACCTGTTTACAGGCACGGATCTCCTTATCCCGAGCTCTGAACCTCATCAGCTTGCGAACCTGCGTCTTGCTCATGTTTTCGATGCTCAGCTGCATCCATGATGAGGGCTTCATTTAAAGCGGTTTGCCGTTGGCTCTGCTACTCTGGGGCTACACAACATAGCCTGGGAGTGCTGCGGATCAGCAACACTTGTTGCGCAGCCGAAGCCGGCCCGAAAATTGTTCACATGGACAGAATGCCCTGCAACAAGAGGTGCGCAGAGGACGACTTCAACAAATTCTAAAGCCTTAAACCCCAAAATCTAACCCACAACCCCCAAAGAAGAACCCCAACAACTCCCGCACAGGGCACCACGCCCCAGAGACTCTTCGCGGACGCGGGCGCCAAGGGCGGCCGCCTCGCTGGGAAGCCCAGATCTTTGGGTTCAGAGTTTTGGTTGGGACGTTCCTCCTTTCTCCAACAGTCCATACCTTTATAGGGATTCTCGTACCCCTAGTACTATAATCCCTGAGCAGAACTATTAGGATAAGGGGGAACATCCCAAGTTTTGGGCTAGATGTTGGGTGGAGTTTAGGGTGGGTTCTTTTTGTCATATGAAATTTTTGGGCTTGGGGCCTTGCATCTGGGAGAAAGTTCCACAATGCACCCAACATCCGGAAAACCTGTTCCGAGCCCCTGCAATTTCCTTGCAAGAGCTCTTACATCCTTTTGTGCTGTAAGCTGCATCCTACGGCCTAAGCCCTAAGCCCCTAAACCCTAGACCCTAGACCCTAAACCCTAAGCCCCTAAAGGGTTTAGGGCTTACCGGGTTTAGGGTTTGCGGGCCCCGCATGCCAACATGGCCCGGTCGTAGCTGAGGACGCAGGGTCCCTGAAGAGCTTTCTGGAGGCCCAGCCGGTCCCCACGACGAAGGCGCCCCATCCGCGGACCGCATCCCAATACATTAGAGTGCCGGAAGCGTTTTAGAGCCTCAAAACCCCCTAAACCCTAAACCCTAAACCCTAAACCCTAAACCCTAAACCCTAAACCCTAAACCCTAAACCCTAAACCCTAAACCCTAAACCTAAACCCTAAACCCTAAACCCTAAACCCTAAACCCTAAACCCTAAACCCTAAAACCCTAAAAGCCCCTAAACCCTAGAACCCTAGAACCCTACACCCTAAAACGCACTAACTGCTAAGACCCCAAATGCCCTAAAACGCTAAACTGCTACAGTGCAGGTTGCAGGCAAGGTTTCAACGCTTTCCAGTCTCGGGTTTCGCGTTTAGGGTTTAGGGTTAAACCCTAAACCCTAAACCCTAAACCCTAAACCCTAAACCCCAAACCCTAAACCCTATGCCCTATACCCAAAACCCTAAACCCTAGCCCTAAACCCTATACCCTATGCCCTAAACCCGAAACCCTAAAACCTAAACCCTAAACCCTGAGCCCTAAACCCTGAACCCTGAACCCTAAACCCTGAACCCTGAACCCTGAACCCTAAACCCTAAACCTAAGCCAACACCCGTGTCGGGCCGAAGGCCTGAGGTTTCTAAGCAAGGGCGATTGCAAAATGAGCAAGCAGGTGACGCAGAGCAAACTCGCGTACACTCCTAAATCCTAAATCCTAAACCCTGCACCCTAAACCCTAAACCCTAAACCCTAAACCCTAAACCCTAAACCCTGAACCCTGAACCCTGAACCCTAAACCCTAAACCCTAAACCCCAAACCCTGAACCCTAAACCCTAAAACCCTACGCCCCCTGTGCCTGCCCGCCCCAAAGTTCTCCTTTGCAGCAGTGGGAGCTCGACCCCGGCGCCCAGCCCTAAGCCCGCAAAACCCCCCAAACACCTCAACCTCGGGTTCTGGTTTTCGGGGGTAAACCCTAAGCCAGAAACCCACACTCTACCACGCAAACCCTAAGCACATCAAGCTCCCCCCCCCCCCCCAAACTTCGAAGAGCCTAAACTCTACCAAAGACCTAAACCCTACCAAGACCCCCAGATCCTAAACCCCACCAAAAAAACCCCCAAAACAGCTCCATCAGGAGCGACGTGCGGCGCTAGTTGCCCGTTGCGCGCCGGAGGATGGGGAGGGATGGGGCGTTCAAGGGTTTAGGGTTTTAGGGTTTTAGGGTTTAGGGTTTAGGGTTTAGGGTTTAGCGTTTAGGGTTTAGGGTTTAGGGTTTAGGGGGGTTGTTAAAGGTTTCGGGCTGAGGGACCTCGGGTTAAGCCTTTCTATAACCCTGCAGATGAATAAAACCCTAAACCCTAAGCCCTAGAGAAAGGCACGCTTTGGGTACTTAGGGTTTAGGGTTTCAGGCTTGGGGCCCTCATCATTCTTCCACTGGGCACCAATGTGGAAGGCGCTCTGTCTCCACTCTTGCACAGTTACTGAGCTCTTTTTGTCGACCCTCAACCCTCAACCCTCAACCCTAAACCCTAAACCCTAAACCCTAAGCAACATCGAAAAATCAACTCAATGAACCCAGCCTCCTCAACTCCAACCCCCCCCCCGGCGGGATAGTGCGCCCAATGATCCGGCTGAAGCGCCGCAATGCCCAAACAAAACGGAGCCTGGAAGCCAACGCCGAGACGAGCCCTCAAGCCGAAGACCAGACATGAGTAGGGTTTAGGGTTTAGGGTTTAGGGTTTAGGGTTTAGGGTTTAGGGTTTAGGGTTTAGGGTTTAGGGTTTAGGGTTTAGGGTTTAGGGTTTAGGGTTTAGGATTTCGGGCTCAACCTCGAACCCTGAACCCTCTAAGCCCCTAAGGCCTCCCTAAGCACCTGGTAGGGCTCCCTGGATCTCTCTGCCTTCAAGAAGCTTCTTCGGAGGAATCTCGGACCCGGGTTCGGGGTTTAGGGTTCGAGGTTTGGGGGGGGACTTTGTGGCGTTGAGGGTTTGAGGTTTATGCAGGGTGTTGTGGGTTTAGGGTTAGGGGTTCGGGGGGGTTGGGGTTTAGGGTTAGGGTTTGAGGTTTATAGGGGGTTTGGGGGGTTTAGGGTTGAGGTTTGGGGCGTTTGGCCCCGGCTGCCCTGAGGCCACCCCTCTAGGTTCAGGGTGTACGGGTTTAGGGCTTTAGGGCTTTAAGGGTTAAAAGGGCTTTAAGGGTCAAAGGGGCTTAAGGAATCGAGGGGCTTAAGGTTTGACGGGTCTAAGGGGTTTAAGGGTTAAAGGGTTTAAGGGGTTTGGTTAACGGGTTTAAGGGGTTTAAGGGGTTTAAGGGTTTCTAAGCGTCTTAGGGCCCCGAATGCCGAGGCACTTCGCGGTGGCGCAGGTGGCGCCTCTCCGAGCGGGCGCCCAGACTGTTGAGGCACGGCGGGGGTGTGAGTTTAGGCTTGGGGGGGTTTAGGGTTTAGGGTTTAGGGTTTAGGGTTTAGGGTTCAGGGTTCAGGGTTGAGGGTTGAGGGTTTGGGGTGGTGGTGTGCGGGAGGGGTGTGGGGTGCGGGCCGGGGGGGGGGGGGGGGGGGGGGTACTTGGAGATGAGTTGTTCATTGAGGGTATTTAGGGTTCAGGGTACTAGGGTTTGGGGCGTTTACGATTTCAGGTGTTCAAGGTATTTAGACCCTAAACTCCAAAGACATCGCAATGGTTCTCAGTTTGGGTTTTGGGAGAGGGGGGGGGGGGTGGGTGGGCCAGGAGCATTTAAGGCCCCACAATGCAGGACAACCCTCAGACTCACTGATACGAACAATCAGAATACGAAGCAGAGCTAACTAATAGCAATAGCAATGCAAACTACGGCAGCAAAAACAGTCCAAGTGACGGTGACAACAGCCGCAGTCAACTCATAAGAATGCTTGCCCTTCTTATGTCCATTAATAATCATTAATACTTCTCGCAGCTTTGCCATTTCTCATGATAGTAACGACTACAAGCCGTAGTCGTCGTAGTAATCGTAGTCGTAATGGCCGTCGTTAGCCGTTGTCGATGGAGATTAACGAAAGAGCTTGGCTCCTAGAGCCTCAAATCCCCAAACCCAAGCCTCGCCCCCCCCCCCCCCACCCCGCCCTTACCTCCCAAATCCCTAAACCCTAAACTTTAAACCCCAAAACCCCGAACCCCCAAACCCCAACACCTCAGCGCCCCCATGCGAAGGCGCTCCAGGGCGACGTCTTCGAAGCCTACACCGCCGTCGACGGATCTGCAGAGGTGGAGGTGCCCTGGGTTTAGGGGTTTGGGGGTTTAGGGGTAGGGGTTTAGGGGTTTGGGGGTTTAGGGGTTTAGGGGTTTGGGGGTTTAGGGGGTTAGGGGGTTAGGGGGTTTGGGGGTTTGGGGGTTTGGGGGTTTGGGGGTTTGGGGGTTTGGGGGTTTGGGGGTTTGGGGGTTTGGGGGTTTGGGGGTTTGGGGGTGTTTGGGGGTGAGGGGTTTAGGGGTTTAGGGGTTTTAGGGGTTCAGGGGTTTAGGGGTTTAGGGGGGTTTGGGGGTTGGGGGGTGGGGTTTGGGGGGTTTGGGGGTTTAGGGGGGGGTTTGGGGGTTTGGGGGTTTGGGGGTTTGGGGGTTTGGGGGTTGGGGGTTTGGGGGGCGGGGTTGGTGGGGGGGGTTGGTGGGGGTTGGGGGGGGGGGGGGTTGGGGGTGGGGGGGGGAGTTGGGGGGGGGGGGGTTGGGGTTGGGGGTTGGGTTGTTAGGGCTGAGGCAGCTTATGGTTCAGGGGTTTGAGGTGAAGGGCTGTGATGTTTAGGGTTTAGGGTTTCGTGTTTAGGATTTAGGGTTTAGGGCTTAGGGTTTACGGTTTTGGGTTTTGAGTTTTGGGTTTTGGGTTTATGCCAGGGCTCACACGTACTTCAGGGTAGTTAGAATCGGGCTGATAAAGTACCCTAAACAAGGTTACAACTATTGTTGCCATATCTGGATTTCCAAAAAGAGAGGTACCGCTTATACACCCCCAAAAACACTACAACCCTTTTACAAGAACCCCATAAAGGGTACTCCCTTTTCGGAAACCCCCATATGAATAGCAGCACTGATTAGGGTTCAGGGTTTAGGGTTCAGGGTTTAGGGTTCAGGGTTTAGGGTTTAGGGTTTGGGGTTTAGGGTTTAGGGTTCAGGTTTTCGAGTTTAGCGTGTAGAGTTTAGGGTTTGGGATAACTACCCATGAGCCTCCAAGTAGGGATTAGAGGTCGCAGGGTTCACGCAGACACTCCCAGGCGCCCTGCGTCTGCTTCGACCAAGAGCACTGAGCCACCCAAACCTGAAAGGGTTTAGGTTTTAGGGTTTAGGGTTTAGGGTTCAGGGTTTAGGGTTCAGGGTTTAGGGTTTAGGGTGCAGGGTTTCGGGTTTTAGGGTTTAGGGTTTAGGGTTACTCTGCATCCCTACCCTCTAGACCACCTCAACCCCCTGAACTCGGGCAAATAACCCTGAAGCCTACACCTCGAACCCTCAGACACTCAAACCCTGAACCCTAAGCCCCAAGCCCCAAGCTCGAAACCTAACAAGCCTACTCACGGAATTTGTTTCATGTGACCCGAAAAGCAGTCCTACAACTCCAAAACCACCCCGTCACTCCAGCCGAATGACAGGGCTGCCTCTGGCCCTCTGGCACCAAAGGCATCCTGTTGCCCCAGGTGACGCGTGGGTTTGCTGCCTGGGGGTTTGTTAGGGGTGTCGGGGTGGAGGGGTGTCAAGGGCTTAGGGTTGAGGCTTTAGGGGCTTATGGATTTTCAGGGTTGTTGTGAGTGGGGGGGGGGGGGGGGGGGGGGGTGGTAGGCATCTGACTTGAAGAGTTTTTCGAGGGATGGTGGTTTGGAGGTGTGGGGCTTCCTTGGTCGAGGGTTCGAGGGCTTGAGGGTTTGGAATGCGGGGCTTAGGGTATATGGTTTAGGGTTTAGCTTTGACAATTTGACTAAACTCTAAAGCCTTCCAGTCATTCTTCAACCCCGTCGCCACGGAAGCTCACAGGGACCACAGTGCCTGCGGCCACTCTCTGCCTTAGATGCCTTCTGAAGCTGGGCGGCATTGAGGGAGGGAGTTCAGGGGTTTAGGGTTTAGGGTTTAGGGTTTAGGGTTTAGGGTTTAGGGTTTAGGGTTTAGGGTTTAGGGTTTAGGGTTTAGGGTTTAGGGTTTATAAGGGCACTGGGGCTGATAAGGGCTCAGGGCTGTGCATGGGATTGGCTTGGCTCTTTGTTTCGGGCACCGATGAAGTTGGCGGAAGGGCTCAGAGTCTCAGAGGGTTTAGGGTTTAGGGTTTAGGGTTTAGGGTTTGGGTGTAGACGGCCCGGCAAACCCTCCACATTCTGGTTCGGGGGGGTGGTGGCATCCGGACACTTGAGCTTAGTTCAAAAGGGACTATGTTTGTGATGATCTGGCCATGCGTAAGGCAGACTGCAAGAAAGGGCTGATCTTCTCCGCATCCTATGGGAACTGGGGGCGGGGGTTAGAGTTTTATTTAGGCTCTTGTCTTTTTTCGGGGTGAGGGGGGGTTTCGGTCAATGTTTCCAACCCATATTAATTCTGTCCAGGCCTCATAGCCTCATAGCCCACACTTTTGCAGCTCTGAGTTTGCTTTCGCTTTGGTTTCTTGGTGGCATGATCCATCTCTACTGATACTGATGGCCTTCTCTTGGGGATGTTCCACCCTATACTAGCAGTCCTTAATAGGGATTGCAATAGGGTGTTCTATACTCCCCATTAAGGACTCTTAGCAGAAGAGGGAACATCCCAAGCCCTAAACCCTAAACCCTAAACCCTGAACCCTGAACCCTAAAACCTAAACCCTAAACCCTAAACCCTTCTTCAGAAGCATGAGTTATGTGGTTCTTCTCTTTAGGATTTGCCGTGCCCAGGCATGCTTGCAGAGAGGGTGGTGCAGGACAATCCCGGACTAGATCCGCAAGTGCTCAAGCTTTAGATCCCGTTCCCCTTGTTTTCTTTTTAGCCCCTGACCCCTAACCCTAAACCCTATACCCGAAACCCTAAACCCTAGACCCAATATTGAACTTCCCGTCTAGATAAGGTGGAGAGCATTTGATTTTGGAGGGTCGGGGGGTTCCATGTTCAATTGAGTATGTCAGGACGCCCTGCTTTGCGCTGACAACAAGAAAGGGAGGTTACCTCATTGATCCGGGAATAGGATCTAGGGTTTAGTCGTTAAGCATCAACTGCAGTAGATTGAGAGAACTACCCGAAACCCTAAACCCTAAACCCTAAAGCACTGAAAGCCAACATGCCAAAACAAAGGAGATGGTATGAGCAGCATTGGAAAGAGTCCGGCACAAGAGTGGAAAGAGTCTCCCTAGTAAATCCGGCCTCTTCCAGCGCCCTCCTGTTTAGGGTTTAGGGTTTAGGGTTTAGGGGTTTGGGGGTTTGGGGGTTTGGGGGTTTGGGGGTTTAGGGTTTAGGGCTGCTTCTGCATCAAGATGACGTATGTGTAAGTAGACTCGCTTTGATCATGCATGAGAGGCAGCTCATGCACGTGCATTCTGGGCCCAGCAGGCACTAGGAATAGAGGCAAGTCTATGAATCTCCAGCATGAAGCTAGTCTGTACGCCGTTGCGCTCTCATTCTAGGATTTGCACACTTCATCCTAGTCCACGTTGTGCCGTTCCATAATGGTAGCCAGTTCAAGCTCCACTACCAGCTCGGCGGGGTGGGAGCAATGCTATCACTGCAACGCTGCCACAAAGCAACGGCTGAGCTGCCGCTGTATTTTTATTTGCCGACATTGTGCAGAGCAGCGTCCAGCGTGTGTCATGTGTACATCCCGGGTTGAGGTTGTGACAGACACAACCCTTCGAAGCAACGAGGAGTTTGAGGACAACCGCAGCAAGAGCTCCCGAATGGCAGTTAGAAGCGCAGAACTTGCACCCTTGCACCGTGCAACCATGAGTCTGGAAAAAGCGCGCGAGTATCACGAAAAGGCATTCTTGCAGAACAGCCCAGTTCAGCACTGGCAGGACATATATGAGGCACACAGAGCAGCGGAAGAAAGCGTGAGGGCATTTGAGAGTGTGCCAATGGATCAGACGGACCAGGGCTTGCTTGCGCAAGCTCTCCTACTCCAGGCCAATACTGTGGCCAAGATGGCGCCTAATTTCAAGGCGAGTACCAGCTGCTCTTGAATCTGGCTTCATCTCAGGCAGATAAGGCTGCTCGCATCCTACAGAGTACGAGGAGTCCCCAGCTCGGCAATGCCTTCCGCGTCATGGGACTTGTTGAGCTTCAGCGCGCGAGCCGCTGCTCAGGCAGCTCTGATGCCATCGAAGCTTTGCGACAAGCCCAAGAGCACTTCCTGCGTGCCATCCGAACCTTTCGCGACCAAAAGGTGGAAAGTATCTGGAGTGCTGTCTCTTTCTGGGACATGTACATCGTGATGCAAAAGCTGAAATCGGATGAGGCTGCAGTTCCATGGCTGAAAAAGGCCATTGAATTGCAGGTCAGAATGCAGGGAAGCGAGAATGGTTACACCAAGCTCTATCAGCAACGTCTGGCAGACATGCTTGGTGTTCCATTTTCCGCTGAGCTTGCAGATCTCTCACCGGAAGAGAAGGAAGAAATCGAGCGCGCACTGGACCCTCTAAGCCCCGCATCCGTGGATCAGGGGATGTTGCGAAATTGAGTCGCAAAGACCCAGGATCCCCTTGAATGCGGGGCTTGCAGGTTCTCTTCTCTCAAACTTGCTGCTTCGGACTTGGGCAAAAAGCTTGTTCAAAAGCTCACGGGAAGCGGGCTTCCAAGAAGGGTAGCTTGCGTTATGAAGTCTTACGGCTGAGGGTAGTCTAGGGGTTCGGTGCTTTGGAGGACGTCGGGGACCGATATTCCCAAAATGGTGCGAGGTAGGGCAGCTATGAGGTCTGGCTTTGGAGTCGGGGACCCAAATTGGCCCTTTCTAGGGTACCTATGACTCTACCTTGTACCTATCCTCCAAGTAAGCCCGAGGCCTAAACTCCGCTCTAAACACGCCTAAGCCCTTAAAGCCTTAGGAGCCCTGAGGCCCCATCCTATTACCTTAAAATAACTTGAGCATCTAAACCCCAAACCCCAAACCCCTAGAACCCCAGATGCCCCAAGCCATAGAATCCTAAGCCCTCCCAAAATCCTCATCATGAAGTGAGTTGCGCAGCCGATCCCAGCCCAGTTTCAGGGTTTAGGATTCAGGGTTTGGGCTTGAGGGCTAGGTGCTCAGGATTTAGGGATTAGAGGTTAGGGTTTCGTGTTTAAGGTTTAGGGATCAGGGTTGTGGTACTATAGGTAGGGTTTGGGGCTTCGGGTTTGGGATCTCGAGTTTGGAGATTCGTCTTTGGGGTTTAGGGTCTAGGGCGACACGCGCAGGAATGCACAGAGTCCGTGCAGGCGAGCGCAGCAAAGCTCGAAGCCAAGGCAGGAGCAGTTATATAAGGGAGATATGTGGGGTATTTACGGGTTATAGAATGGTTCGGTAAGGGTTATATAAGGGTCATATAATGGTTCTGTAAGGGTTATTTGTGTTGGTCATCTACTGGTTATGTAAGGGAGATATGAGGGTTATTTGAGGGTGATATGACGGTTCTGTATATGTTAAAGAAGGGTTATACAAGGGTTAACGGTCAGGGCTCAGGGGCTACGATCTGGGGTTGGGCGCAAGCTTGGAACTTGGGCTTTGGGCGCCGACCGCCCCTTTCCCCCCCTTCAAAAGCGGCCGTAAACCCAAAAACCCTAAACCCGAAGCCCGAACCCTAAACCCTAAACCACCTTCCCTAAACCCTCAATCCTAAGCCCGGGGAGTTCAGTTTTTCCAGTTGGGTGCAGATTGCTACATTCTCGAGACTATTTGGAATTGTTCGAGTATGTGTCACATAATTTAAATGAAAACATGTGTTTCATGTTCAACAACGTGTATATGGCTAAGTTCATCATCGATGCAGATTCTTGAAACAAAAATGGTTCAAAAAACAAACGTCAATAATGGCTCAGGGGTAGGGTTTAGAGTTAGGGCTTGGGGTTTAGGGTGATGATTCGTTGCAGGTAACCCCTCAACCCTCAAACCGAATCCCCGATCGAGGTTAGGTTTAGGTTTGAAGATTCAGGGTACCAGGGTTTTTTCGTTCCGCGTCCTGTGGTTTTAGGGAATTCGGCTTTGTGTTTGTAGGGGGGTGGTTTTAGGGCTCACGGTGTTTAGGGTGTTCAGGGCTCTTAGGGTTTTAAGGGTCGAGGGTGGATTAGGGGCACTAAGTCCTCAACCCAAACCTCGAGTTCGGGCATCTTGGGCGCTGAGGTGCCTGGGATCAGGAGCAGTTCAACAGTAGGGCTATACGCACCCACCCCAAACAAAGCAGCAAGCTGGCATAATTTCGCTATCCTACTTTAAACACCCGTTTTCGCCACCCATGGAGACCCTCCCCCACAAAACCAATAAAACCTTAAAATACGAAACAGCAAGAAAAAAAGTCCATAACCCTAAGCCCCAAAGTCTCATTGAATCCTACATGCAGGTGAAGGATTTCCCACCTTCTCTGAAGAACTCCCCGGACGAGGCAGCGGGCAGTTCTGGGCTTGTCGGCTTGTAGGGGCCCTAAACCCTAAACTCTAAACCCTAAACCCTAAACCCTAAACCCCAAACCCCAAACCCCAAACCCCTAAACCCTAAACCCTAAACCCCAAACCCCAAACCCTAAACCCTAAACCCTAAACCCCAAACCCCAAACCCATAACCCCTAACCCGAACCCAATACCCTAAAACCTAAACCCTACGAAAGCCCCAACACCTCACGAGTTGCAGGCTAAGGCCGAGGTGGCCAAGCTCCTCCCCAAGCGGCAGGCAGCAGCACAAAGTACAGGGTTTAGGGTTTAGGGTTTAGGGGAGTAGTTAAAGGGCTCGAAGGGTTTTAGGCCTTCTTTAGGGCTTCTTAGGGCTTTTTTCGGTCTTTTGAGGCATTTTGGGGCTTCTTAGGGCTTTTTCTTTTTCTTCCGAGGGTTTTTGTAGGCCTTATTCGGTTTGGTTAAGGGTTTTATCCTTTTAGGGTTTTGTGTTTGGAGGTTGGTCTTAGGGCTCTCGGGTTTCAGGTTTAGGGCTTAGGGTCTTTTCAGGGTTTTAGGGGTTCAGAGTTTCGGGGTTGATGGCTCAAAGTTCCAGGACGGCTTTTCATCATGCTTTCTATCCATGCATCGCATGTGGCAAACAAACTAGGTCGGCTCTTGGGACGCTGCGTTTTCCCGAGGATGTTATTCAGGGTTTCATCTGGCCAGCCTAGTTAACACTCAAAGGCGACACCGGTGGTTCAGCTCGAAAGGGAACCCAATTTAGAGAAACTACCCACAAAGCACCTGATCTATATTCGTCCCTGTTTCCCCTGATAATTCAGGAGCCACGAAGCTTTTGTGCTTCTCTCGGAATCGAGAATTTAATGCGCCCTAATAATCCCCAAACCCAAACCCCTTTAATCCCCAAACCCTAAACCCTTATAATCCCCAAGCCCAAAACCCCTTTTATCCCCAGACCCACCCTCAACCCCTATGATCCCCAAACCCTAAATCCCCATAACCCCCAAACCCGAACCTCTGGGGTTCCAACTTAAATGTTCATGGGCAGGCTTCCAATAACTCTCCCAAGCAAGGCGGCAGCAACTTGTAATCACTACCCATGAAGATCCAAGGAATGGTTGCCGGGATCCAGGGTTTAGGGTTTAGGGTTATTAGGGTTTAGGGTTATTAGGGTTTAGGGTTATTAGGGTTTAGGGTTTAGGGTTATTAGGGTTTAGGGTTTAGGGTTTCGGGTTTAGGGTTTAGGGTTTAGGGCATTCCAGCACAGGGTGGCAACCCAGAGCTCTGAGGCCTAAACGGTTTTCTGTTCGGCCAGGTGCCAGTGGCAGCGCTTTCGCTGCTGCAGAAGCAGGTGGCGCTTCACATGGTCACTTCTCTCTAAGAATATGTTCCCTTTTGGGATCCTAAGTATAAGGCGGCCCCTCTTGTTTAGAGTACCCAGGGGGCCATCAAAAAGTGAACTCACCATGTGCTGTGGATGCTCTTGCAATTACTGGGGGTTTAGGGTTTCGGGCCAGGGGTTGCCCTAACCGCAAGCAAGCCCTCTGAAAATATTCGGGGGTTGGGCACTACTCTGGTGTGGGATACGGGTGATGGGCGCGGAGTACACCCGGCGAGGAGAACAGTTGAGTTTAGAATGGGTGGCCCAGAGTGGGCCCGCATTCTTTTTGTTTAGGGCGTGGGTTCCCTTGTTAGCCCCCTCTAAACCGAAAACACTACCCTGTTTTGAACTAAACCCTAAACCCTAAACCCTGGACCCTAAACCCGAAATCCTAAACCCTAAACCCTAAACCCTAAACCCTGAACCCTGAACCCTAAACTCAAGCCCCTCAACCCTGTGCACTCCTCCTTGAAGCCAGCAGTTCACTCCCCGAAGGTGGCCGTGGCGAAGAAGAACTTCGCCAAGGCTCAGGCAGCGACGGTTGAGGGTTCAGGGTTTAGGGTTTAGGGTTTAGGGTTTAGGGTTTAGAGTTTAGGGTTCAGGGTTCAGGGTTCAGGGTTCAGGCTTTCGGGTGGGGGAACATCCCAAGCTTCGGGTAATCAGGGGGTTTAGGGTTCAAGTTTTCGGGTTCAGTGTTCAGGTTTTGGTGTTTAGGGTTCAGGTGAACCCTGAGCCCGAGTGTCCTTCCGCACCTCCTCGAATATACGCTTTTTCGGGCACGTTATAAAAATCTTGGGACAGCAGCAAGTCAGCAGTCAGTAGCTTGCGCGTTGTTCAGCCCAGCACAGAACCCGATTGAATCAAGTTGAGCTAAGCCCTACATCCTAAACCCTAGCCCTAGGCCCTAAACCCCTCAAACCCAACACCCCAAACCAACCATGAACCCTGGACTCCAACATCACTCATAAGATGTCAGGGTTCTAGGGCTTTGGGTTTAGGTACAGGGGTTTCCGAAAAGGGGTACTAAGGGGATCCTACGATGTGGGGGTCTATTTTGGGGGTCCCTTATTGTCGTACACCCCCCCGTTAAGCTCGAAGGTGAGGCCCTAAACCCTAAACCCTAAACCCTAAACCCTAAACCCTAAACCCTAAACCCTAAACCCTAAACCCTAAACCCTAAACCCTAAACCCTAAACCCTCCGTTAAGCTCGAAGGTGAGGCTCTGGAGGTGTTTGCCAGGCGTTGGGCTTTAGGGCGCTTAGGGTTTAAGGTGCGGGGACTTCTAGGGCTTGAGAGGCCTAAACCCCTCAGCCCAAAGCCCTAAAGCCTAAACCCTACACTCTAAGCTGCATTTAAGGTTGTAGGACACGGTTGAGGCTGCTACGAGCATTTCGGGTTGTGGGCCTTCTAGGCTTTGAGGCATTTGAGGCGGTTTTGGAGGCTTCAGGCTTTTGTAGGCACGGTCCTGTCAGGGCTTAGGACGGCTTAGGGTCGCGAGGGCTTCAGGGCTAAGCCCTAAACCCGAAACCCTAATCCCTAAACCCTAAACCCTAAACCCTAAGCCCTAAACCCTAAACTCCCTAAACGGCTAAGGCTTGGGGCCTCAAGAGATGTCAGGCTGCCGAGAAGGCAAAGAGCGCCTTGTTGGCCGAGTCCCAGGAGGCGGAGGAGCCTTTGTTTTCGCTTGGGCGGGTTTAGGGTTTAGGGTTTAGGGTTTA